TCAAACCTGTGTCAATTAATCAATTTTTAAATCGATCGCCAAATATTTTCTGAATTGCAACTCTTCAAAATATTATTTTTGGAAAATACATTTTAGGCTTATGCAAACAATGTTAGGACCTTGGACTCTAGAAAATGTGTTGGACAGTTTTAAATCAATAAATAATCAATATAACTGTTGGTTGTAGCCCAAGAGTAAAGATTAGGTGTTCATCAGTGAAATTGCTAATGCTGGTTATCAGAAATATTAGCAGAAATGAAATTAATCCAAAATAGAGGAATACATAGTAAGTAAACATAACAAGAGGGACACTGCAGTGTTTTCTGTTACTGTGCAACTTTAAAATCCATCAAACAATCAATATTCAATAACATCAATCGGTCAGCCATGCAGACCTGCCGGTCAAAGTGCACTTCTTTATCAAGGAAGATGTGCACCACTGCAACTTGTCTCCAGCATCTTCTCTACCAACTATCACATATACAACAGATCTGGAGCTGCATTCAGGATACTGTTGCTTGCTTTCTGCTCCATAACATCCTGATATTTGATTCACTTTTGAGTACTGGCACATGAGCATACTGAGTTGAAGCAGAAATCATTTAAAGGCACAAGTAGGGCTCATGCAGTGTAGCATAGAGGCAGTGCACCTGGCTGCTACCCAGGCGTGTGTGTGTGTGTGTGTGTGTGTGTGTGTGTGTGTGTGTGTGTGTGTGTGTGTGTGTGTGTGTGTGTGTGTGTGTGTGTGTGTGTGTGTGTGTGTGTTTCAGAAGAGGCTGCTGGCCCTTTAAAAGCTAAGATGGTGTCCTACAAGCTGCAGCTTCTGCCTTCCGTTTCCTTCCTGCCTCTCAGAGATCACAGAGCATTTCAAATTGAACCCGAACTAAACTCGCACACAGAGAGAAACACACACAGCGGGGACAGAAGACAGGTTTCCGTGTAACCTATGGAGATGACAGTGCTCTGAACATGATGTTATAATGCATTGTTACAAAACTCTTCCACTAATTGCAAAATAAACTGCCTACCTGCGAGAATACACATGTAATTACACACTGACATTCATATGTGGCACATGTTGAGCTGACAACTGCTTCCACACAGATGTATTTGTTTAATTTTTTTTGTATTCATTGACCAGGGCAAAGTCAATAACGTGCACTTACTTTCTTGTTACGGGTCTCCGTGTGCATCTCGGTTGCCGGAGCGGTGCAGCGGCGGAGGGGTGGAGCAGCAGGAGGGGGTCGGTCGGGGCTTTTGGGTGTAGCTCTATCTGAATAAGAGCTGTGATAGGGAGAGAGCAGGGTTTTGGGGGGGGGATTAGTTTCCACCTTAACAGTAAATGTGGGATATATAGATACACGCTCCCTCTTCTTGTGCGCTCTTTTCAGTTCATATCCGCAGCGTCGAAGGCTCCCTTTGCTCCCCCCAAAAAACAGCCAGTCTCTCGGTGTGTCTCTCCCTCTCTCTGACGGCGTGTTGTTGCCGTGCATTCAAGGGCTGGGCTCTCTCTCTCTGCCTTTTCCTCCTCCGCCTCTCCCTGCTTGTGACCCCACCCTGCGTCCCCACCCCTCATCTCTCTGTCAGTCAGGAGCTGCGCAGCCCTGCAGCCCTGCAGAGGAGCTGAGAGGAGGCTGCTGGCGACCCGACACCGGCTGCAGGCAGGCGGGCAGACGAGGGGACGAGCAGCCGCTGCAGAACCGCGCAGATAATGCATAGGGAATTGTAATTGCATGCAAAACAGCACAGGATCTCATCCATATCTGTTAAAGCCATGTTGCTAGTTTATTGCTCAGAGATGGTGGAGAGAGAAGCACCCATGTCACCTTACTGACGTCACCCAGCAGGCTAATTGAGGACACTTGAGCTGGGTGGGGAGGGTGGAGCGGTGTAGTCAGTATACCCAGCCAGGCTTTGCAGCATTACTGTTTATAATAAAACATAAGGCACATCTGAATGAAGGGAATGCAGCCAATGTGATGATGATGGAGGTATAACCACACCCTTTCCATTGAAGCAGGGTGTGGTACAGCGGAAGTCTTAATTATTTGGAAGGTATTATTCTAATAACATCAACAAATATATGCAGCAACATGTTTGATCTGATATAGATTTCAACAGAGAGAAGCATTAAGCCAGCTGAAAAAAAGATAGGCCTACTCACATTACCATACAATTGTTATTATCACCATTATAGTTTCAGACATAATGTACACATTGATCTATTTCTGTCAAAAGCGAAGCTGTGGAATAATGTGTTCCCTATCTGTATCCATGAGACTATATACAGTAGTTCATTATTACTCAGGGGGGGGGGGGGTTAACTACACTTCCCATGAGTCCACAGACCGGAAGCAGAAATAACACGGCGGAAGCATGCGAAGGTAAACACAACTACAAGTTATCAGTAACATTTACAAGTCATTTCATTACAATTGTGTCATTTTAATTAACGTGTGGTGTCCTTGATTTGGGAGAAAATACCAGTTTAAAGCCGTTGCTTTTACGTCTGATCTACGGCAGGCACTGTTGTCATGGAGATAGCTAGAGCCAGTTAAGCTAACGTTAGCTAATCTCTGTAGCTGCAACATGTTTTACAAGATTGTATCTTAAAATATGTTGAACAGGACTATTGTGTTTCTATTCATCTATACTTTAGACTCAAAGCTTACTTATAGACCGTATTCCTCACTCTGCATCGCTCAGTTTGCCCCTGGTAGTCTCAGTTTACCACACGGCTAATGCTAATCGATTAGAGGATGAAAAAGATTCAATGTCTACACTGGACTGCATTGAGATTTTAGCTTGTGACAATGAACGAAAATACATAGGTATCTAAGAATATGATATTCCAATATATACAGTCTGTTATTAACAAGGCATATTACGATGACAGGGTATATGTATTTTTTTATTTGTATACTAATATCACTTACATGAGCAATATGAAACCCATTTTTTTTAAACAGATATATCCACCCTAAAGTGGATTCAAGCAATATACTTCTTATTAAGTTAGAAATAGTGCATTCTTTTTTTTTACAGACTTTCGCAGTTATGCACAGAGCAAAAAGCAGAATGTTACCCAAACATAATTTAAAAAATGTACAAAGAGGACCATAGAAATACATATAATGAAAGCCTCATTTTAAAAGCAGTTTTTTAGTGATGGGGTCAAACTGTGGAGTTCTCTACAGAGTGATTTTATGGCAAGAAAATGCATCAAACTATAATATTAGATGATACGAAGTGTCAGGTTATCTGTTTCTTTAGTTGATGGTGAATTATTATCTATGGTTTGGAATCCTCTTTTTCTGTAGTATGGCCTGTTAGGTAACTTGCATTTACAAACACATGTTTCTATTATTGATAATGTTTTGATTAAGGGGAAGGCAGGCAAAATAAGACAACAACCAAACACTATTAATCTAGAAAATAAACACTCATCCAGACTCATCCAAAATAAAATGAATCATTAATTGCAAGCTATGTTTCCGAAAATCATTTATTTCACATGTTGCATTTTTGTTAGTTAAGATGTATTAACAGTTTATTTGTGGTACTGTAAGTGTCCATTAGGCATATTACTGTGTTGTGTATAATTAACGTGTGTGTGTGTGTGTGTGTGTGTGTGTCTCTCTCTCTCTCTCTCTCTCTCTCTCTCTCTCTCTCTCTCTCTCTCTCTCTCTCTCTCTCTCTCTCTCTCTCTCTCTCTCTCTCTTTCTCTCTCTCTCTCTCTCTCTCTCTCTCAGAGTGAGCCGGCAGCTGTGTGAGGATGGCCCGCTGCTGGAGGAGCAGGAGACGGAGGCCAGAGGCAGCTGCACAGCCTCCTGCTGCAGCAGCTCCACACCGACGTCGACATTGACCGGTCTGTTAAAAAAAAAAAAACATTGACTGTATAAATGTAAACTCATTGTGCCTGACTCAAGAAGAAAAAAAAAATGTATTCAGTCCTATGGCCACGTTCAGTGAAAATTATATTCTTGTTATAGTGCAACTACTGGGGTTGGGACAAAATCAAAAGACAAAAATATACTGCAATGTATCCCCTTAACGAATACTGTCAGAAACATGGTGCAGAAGATTCTCTACTACTACATACTAACAAGCACCATACCCTGTAGTGAACGTCTGTCTCTTGATAGCAGATCATGACTGTGCACATTTTTATAAGACGATTTTATTGTTACACATTGACAGTAAAAAATCAATTTGCTGTGTTTAATAAAAGCTGTGTAGCTCAGTGGGGAAATGAAGAGAGCAGTTTCACGTTTCATTCCCACCTGAGCTCTACATAAAAAGAAACCCCACGCTCTCTTTACTGCTTTGAAGAAAGAAGCATCCATCAATTGCTCCGTTATATTTTCTTCCCACAAAGCAATGTGGAGGATTTTCTTTTACACAAACCCCGGGGCAACATGTTCTTACACAGCCGTGTTTTTATCAGTAAAATATGATCGTAAAGAGTCAGAAACAACGCTAGAATATGTGACTTTGTACATGTGTCTCCAGCTGTTTTGGGTATCTGCACTGAAACCAGAGTTTCCGTTAGAATTGTTTTTGTCGGTTAAAGTTTAAATCTTCCGGACAAAATGAGAAAAGTGCCTGTTAAAGGTCTTCTTTGTTATTTATTGAGCTTTAAAACAAATTGATAACGACATTAGGAATGAAATAATCAAGGCATGTAGATGTTTATTTTATCGAAAAGTAACTTTCAGTAACTTTGACCCCCCTATCGCAACATTTGGAAGAACATACATAACATCTGTTTGAAACTCATATATCAATATTCCAATTACTGTATATAGACTATTCTGCACTGTTTCTATTATATTTGATTGTATTTACTTGCACTATTATCTGTGTTATTGTGTTGGAGGAGCCTGTGACCTAAGATTGTCATTGTCATAACTACACTGTAGCTAAGCCTTGAAACCTTGAAACCTTGAAACATCGTCAGCACTGAAACAACTTCTCTCTTACAGATGTGTCGCCAAGAGGAAGTGTTTCGCACCGGCGTCGCTCTACCGGCCGTTTGGGCAGCAGGCAGCCGGCGTGAGGAGCCTCTCCCAGTTCCAGGCCCTGCAGGACGGGGAGAAGGAGCTGGCCGGCCTGCGGGAGCTCGGCCTCACTGACACCGAGATCCAACTGTGGCAGCGCCGAGACGAACCTCTGGAGGCAGAGAAGGTAAAAACCGGCTGGGTCCGATTCACCGCCCTGTACGTTAGGGGTTTGTTCCCCGATTTCCTGTGGTTCTCCAGGGTGTCCGCGGGGTCTTAAAAAGTATTAAACGGCATTTTCCAAGGTATTACATTTTGTAGCTTGTCTTCAATAAGTATCTAAATGGTCCAAAGAGGTTGTATTCTACAGTGTGCCTGAATGTAATCATGGCGTAGGTGTGTAGTGAGATTCTGTGTAGTTTATTGATGGCATCCCGTTGGATTGGACGTCATCTGAACAGGACATCGCACGCTCACTGCTTGATAGCGCGCGAAGCTCCGTTTACGCCGGTTGTTAAACAACATCGTTATGGGGAAAGTCTGCGTCCAAATGGTTGGAAGATAAGGAGGAAGGACAATCAATACTGTATATAGTCAATGTGAGGTAAAGTGTGTCGTCAAGGTAACCGGTTAAAACTCATAGTGGTGATGAGGTCTTAAAATGTACGGAAAGGGTCTTAAAAAAGATCTTATTCAAAGCAGACTTGAACTCAAACCGAAACTAAAATGATACTAGAATAATCAGGAAATAATACAAAAATGTTTTTTAGAGGAACTCAATTCAAGCCTTATTAAAGGAACAAAATTAATGTCACTTTTATTTTTAAGTTATAATATTTCCCTTCTGAGAAACAGCAAAGAAAATACATTTCCCTCAGCTCTTGTGAAATGAACCACTTGTGCAGTCTTTCTAATTTTAACAATAAAATAACAGGACTATCATAAACATTTCCTGTTAGTTTAAATTCCATTTAATCGAGTTTTTGCCTTCACTATATCAACTTTATTCACTGCTATTGAGAAATGAACACCACACACATTTCCTTATTTGGAATAATGACAGATGATTTTTATGATCAATATGCAAGCAACAAATGAGACATCCAATGTATTCCTGTTGGAAAATACCTAATATATACAACAACATAAACGTGGCTCCTTTCTCGCTGTAACACCTGAGGAAACACTGATCTACATACTTTCAACACCTCACCTTTTGAAAGAACATCCATAACATTCATCTGGGGCGTGGTTCAACCCCCGGAGCTGTTGCTTTTATAAAACTGTGGCAATATGAAAGAAAAATACACACTCTAATTTAAATAGTTTTTATTAGTAAATAATGATGTTCAAAGTAAAATAGTCCCTCCATTGAAACATAGTGCGAGGTGGTTGCTATGCAACAACACTAACAGCTAGCGAACATATTAGACAGAGAGCGTTGATCCATTATTTGGCTATTTATTTACATTCATGTGTATGTTGCCGTTTGTTGTGCACCCACTGAAAACCTGTCCAGCATCAGTAGCATGCTTACGAGGTTACTTGTATAGGTTGAGTTTGTTCTAGGCTGTTGCTTGGCGTGGCGAGAATATTGCTCCACTTTCTCCGGTCCCCGAGATTGGGCTTCCAGTAGCTCTGGAGAGAGCTTTCGCACCTGTGGCCACTAACGCTCATAATTTCTCTGCTTTGTTTCAAGACCCGCCTCACAAAGCTTTTGAATGGTGCTACTTCTCCAGTTGGTCTACCTGCTCTTCACGTAGCTCTGCATGTCGTCGTTTAGGTGCCTTTTTTTTTCTGGAGATAGGCACTGCTCAATCCACTCCTCCATAGTAAGACCCCCCCGGAGGTCGAAGTTAACCTTAAATGTTTCCATCTTAAGCTTTGTTAGTTAGTTAGTTTCGTAACGGACGTAATGTAACAGTTGTAACGGTTGTAGCCTTTCTCAGACGCGGAGGGATACATGACTTGTTGTGAAAAGTAACTACAATTCTACCCTTAGATATACGTTCATTATATCACGGCTAAGAACCAATCAGATTGCTTGATTTGACTTGTCCGTTTTATAATTGTATATAGACTATTCTTGCACTATTTCTATTATATTCAATTTTATTGTATTTACTTGCACTATTTTATTGTGTTGCTCTGTTGGAGGAGCCTGTGACCTAAGATTGCCATTGTCATATCTACACTGTAGCTATGCACACATGACAATAAAAGCCTTGAATCTTTATATAAACGCCATCCCACGATCTAACGTCTGACCCCGCTCGGTGCCCACTCAGGTCCACGGGGTGTGTGCGGCCCCCGGAGCGAAGCAGCAGCGCCTGCAGGTGATCACAGATAAGATGGAGGCCCGGGAGGAGCTGATGTCCCGCCCGCAGCGCTTCGCCTCCAGCCGCCCGCTGTCCCGCCGGGAGATGGAGATCGAGCGGGCGCTCTTCCAGGGAACCGACCGCCTGGGCTTCCTCGCTGCGCTCTACCACAGAGGTACGCTGGAGACACATAAACTAGACTGGCTTGTTATAGTGTGTTTAGATAGGCTGAAGTAAGTTTCGTAACAGAGAGGGGAAGTTACAAAATAACAGTCGGAGGTGAGAATGGTTTATTACAAGCTTTTTACCTCCACATACAAACAACACATTAAATATCACGTTTTTGTTGTTTACAGATTTTGTATTTAACCCAGAGCAGTTTTAAAACTCTGAACAGTAGAGTAGATGCAGCGATGGAAAGTAAAACAAAAAAGATTTAATCAAGTACTGTAGTACAATTTTAAGGGACCTGAGTATTTCACATTTATTTGACTTTATACTTTTATTCGACAATATTTTGTATGTAGATATTGTACTTTCTACTCCACTACATTTATTTTGATCACTTTTAGCTTCATCAAATTATGATATAATTATGGTTGAAGCTATGAGATGCAACAAAAAGTTAATGAATACTTAATGCAACAATTATAATAAAATACAATTATATACTGAATGATCCTTAAATGGGCATTCTGCATAATGAGTACCGTTGATGCTTATATTTTTTTACTTTTATTGATGTTTTTCTTAACTTCAATTTCTGAATACCTCTTCCTCCTCTGAGCTGATCTCATCGTTCTTATTGCCAACTCTGAAAGATATTTTCTAGAAAGGTACATTTATAATTACTACCTTCCCAGCTTTAATGACCGCCATTTTCTGTTCAGATTTGAGGAGGTCTTAAATACTTTCTTCATGCAACTGCCAGTGAGTAATTTAACAAGTGGGTGTACTTATAATATAATTGGAATCATTGCTTTCATGTTCAAACTTTTTTTAATGCTTCTATAAAAAATAATAATTCCCTTTAAAAAGAAATTGGAATGAGTGAAGTAGAAAATATGTAAACGGGAGGATAAATAAGTAACTTCAAAACAGCAGCGAAGAGGACTCAATGTCCCTGCAGTCTCAGAAGATCTCACCTGCTTATATATTTCCTTTCTCACAACAGATGAAGAAAACTCACAGAGCCAGCAGGGGGCGCCGTCCTCCGACCCGATGGACTCTCTCTTCAGAGACGTCCTCAGCAGGAACAGAAAACACGCTTCACCACAGGACAGAGAAACAGCAGCACACCTTTCTACACACAGAAACACACCTGACCAATCACAGGACTCACACAGAAATACACCTGACCAATCACAGGACTCACACAGAAACACACCTGACCAATCACAGGACTCACACAGAAATACACCTGACCAATCACAGGACTCACACAGAAATACACCTGACCAATCACAGGACTCACACAGAAATACACCTGACCAATCACAGGACTCACACCGAGACAACAGCCAATCACAGGTTTCACACAGAGACAGCAACCAATCACAGGGCTCACACCGAGACAGCAACCAATCACAGGACTCACGCAGAGACAACAGCCAATCACAGGGCTCACACCGAGACAGCAACCAATCACAGGGCTCACACCGAGACAGCAACCAATCACAGGACTCACGCAGAGACAACAGCCAATCACAGGGCTCACACCGAGACAGCAACCAATCACAGGGCTCACACCGAGACAGAAACCAATCACAGGGCTCACACCGAGACAGCAACCAATCACAGGGCTCACACCGAGACAGCAACCAATCACAGGACTCACGCAGAGACAACAGCCAATCACAGGACTCACACAGAGACAGCAACCAATCCCACGAAGCCTCTGATTATATTTCAAAACTGCAGAGTGATAAAAGTGTCTCAGTTCAGTCAGAGTGGAGTTCAGAGCCTGCGGAGCAGCATCTGGCTCAGGAGGACTCTCCAGCAGCTGCTGCTCCTCCACGGATAAACATCAGCCAGCCAATCGGCAGTCTGAAGGCGAGGTCGGGGGGGCCGCTGACTGTCAGAGGGGAGATCCAGACCATCTCAGAGGAAGAAATCCTGAAGAACCGTGAATCTGAAGAAGGGATCCAGAACATCCCGAGGTTCAGGAACTACCAGCCGGGGAAACCCTCCAAGGTACCCACAGATACACCTGCAACACACTAAGAGTTTAGTTTAGTTGTGTTGTTTTGATCTAATACAACTAATATACACATACAAAAATGTCTAATAAGAAATAATAAGGCATCACTTTTGAATAGTGACTAGCCACTGTACATGTATTCTGCATTAAAAGGCATAGGCTAAAGTGTATGACACCGTTTATTATATTAATTATGTTCATTTTTACACAAACATTTTTTTGGAAATTGGAAGTACTGTGTAAACTATACGTTTCTAATAGATGGGTTGGTAGGGCTGCACGATTTGGGGAAATAATCGAATTGCGATTTTTCTGACAGATATTGCGATTGGATTTGCGATATTCGTTTTTAAGCGACCCAACGGAAGTTTTTTGTAAAATGCGGCCATAACTCCGGCTAGGAAGGTCGTATCAACGTGCTCCCGTCTCTAGCACCCCCGCAGCCCCATTTGAGAACCACTGGTGTGGATGACTGACACACAAGAAGAACAAAAACAAAAATCTGATGATAATTGCATCATTTCAAATCGCGATTTCTATTTCAAATCGATTAATCGTTCAGCCCTATGGGTTGGACACCATTTCATTTTAAAACCCAAATGCAAACTAATGTATCATTGGGTTAATATTAGTCCTCAGTCGAAACCAGTCCAGATATACACACAGTTTTTAACACACCCAGTTTAGAGATGCTCTCAACTGTTTCCCAGGTATTGTATGTTTCCAATATGGCTGCCAGAACAGACATGCCTTCACTTCAAAGTTCATTTAAAAGCAGAGTATATACTTTCATTTGAAATCCCACCTCAGTTCAGCCAAGTGTCTCTTAATGTTATACTTATGGGGAAAGCCATTCCATTTGTAGTGTTGAATGAATAGTGCTAGTCTGATTTAAAGCAACATTTTGTGACTCTTTGTAATAGATTTGGCTTTAATTATTTATTTGATTCATACCAGTCATGAAAAGGTCCATCCCTAGTGTGCTGCCAATATAATTGATGGAGCACAAAATCATCAGTAGAGGACTTTTCTTTTCTTTTTAAAGCCACCCTTTGATCTTTTTGTGGCAATAATTGAAATTGTATTTTTAATCTACTCTTCAAACTCCTTAAATTAAGATTACTCCATGATTGACTTTTAAAAATATGTATTTTAGCCAGAAGAATAGTTGTATTTGTTAACTGTGTGCGGTCTTCATCTAAAAGCCCAAATAAAATATTAAAGGGTGTAAATGTAAATTCAATATTTGCCGCAAAATAATTTACAAACATTATGATTTGTGTGGAAAACATTTCATTATTAAGATTTATTTTTATTTTAACCTCTTTTCCTTTCTCTTTCTTGATCCTCCTTAGCAACGGTCATTACAGTCCTTAGCAACGGTCTGTTCTACTGGATTAACTACGTGTCACATGTTCTGAATTGACCAATCGGAACTTTATTTAGCCTCCGTATTGTTGGCCGCGAAAAAAATGTGATTCTTAAGTGGGCCCTGAGTTGAAAAAGGTTGGGAACTGCTGATCTAAAGTATCAAATCAAATCAAGTTTTATTTATAGAGCACATTTAAAAACGATTTTTGGTCGAGCCAAAGTGCTGTACGTGTAATAAAAGCACACTACAATAACATAAGAAAAGACAAAACACAGAGAACATGTCAGGTGTCAAAGTAACATTGGTTTAGTAAAAAAATACCCTGTTGTGTTGGGGTCTCTCCTTTGCAGCTACACGGTATGTAGCTTTGGAAAATATCCACTTAACAAGACTTATTCGCACACCTGAACTCTCGTATTTCTCATATTTTACTAGCATTTTGGATTATATTTCTGCACAGAGCAAAAGCTGTTGTGTCGCCATCACTCACATAGAATTTTCTTATATAATGGATCTCCTGGTGGCCGGCATGAACAGAAGAAATGATTACAGCGAGCAGAAACAGTTTTAATGTTCATCGGGGCGCTGAGTGTTCATAAAATGAGTCATTAAAAGGAAATACATCAACTCGCATTAATTTAAAAACCTCAGAGATCTGCGGCATGTGGACTCGTCAGGAGAAACGGATGATTGTTCTGAACTTTAATCACATTTTCCTACACACAGAGCTGCAGCCTCAAACAGAGCTTATGAATAGGTTTGTTTGTAATATTACACACACTGCACACACTTGTATGACGATAAGATGATAGCTAATCAATGATCAAATATATAATTACGGGTGTTTTAAATACAGAGAGGGTATGAACATGTGGATCATCTGGGCGTCATAATTGATCATAGAATATGTTTAACAACTATTTGTGTTTCCAGGTATAACATGTAAGTTATAACAATCATAATTTGTGGATTAATTTCATTATGGCATTTGAGTTTGTTTCAGATTCACTTTTGTATTTGATGTTGCAATTTAATTTCTCCAAGAGACACACATCCCTAAAAGATCTGGTGGATATCTGACCAGTATTTATATCCTAAATGTTCTTTGGGTTTTATCCACAAATGCAACACAAATAAGATCTGCAAGTTATTATTTAATAATCAAACCATTATTATTGAAATGTAAGTATATGTCAGTGAAATATACTTACATTTCAATAATAATGGTTTGATTATTTGTGACGAGACGTGCGTGAGCGGAACTCTCCTCTATTTAGGGTAAACGTTCAACTTTTAATACAGAAGTTGCCGACTTCTCATCCACGATTACGTCACTTCCGCCGCCTAAAACCCAGGAGGTATACGATCTAGCACTACACACACACGCACACACATAGACACACACAGAGGCACAGAGACACATACACACACAGAGACATACACACACACACGCACACACAGAGACATACACACACACACACGCACACACAGAGACATACACACACACACACGCACACACAGAGACATACACACACACACGCACACACAGAGACACATACACACACACAGAGACATATACACACACACGCACACACACAGACACACACAGAGACACGCACACACACACACACACGCACACACACACAGAGACACATACACACACACAGAGACATATACACACACGCACACACATAGACACACACAGAGACACATACACACACACAGAGAGACATACACACACACACGCACACACAGAGACACATACACACACACAGAGACATACACACACACACACACACGCACACACATAGACACACACAGAGACACACACACAGACACACACACACAGAGACATACACACACACGCACACACATAGACACACACAGAGACACACACACATGCACACACACACAGAGACACATACACAGACACAGAGACATACACACACACACACGCACACACATAGACACACACAGAGACACACACACGCACACACACACACACAGAGACACACACACACACAGACACACACAGACACACACACATACATACAGACACACACAGACACACAGAGACACACACACACACACACAGAGACACAAAGACACACACAGACACACACACACACAGACACACACAGACAGACATACAGACACACACACACACACACAGACCCACACACAGACATACAGACACACACAGACACACAGAGACACACACACACACACAGAGACACACACACACACACACACACACACACACACACACACACACATATTAGGCAAGGCAAGGCAAGTTTATTTATATAGCACTTTTCAACACAAGGCAATTCAAAGTGCTTTACAAAAAATGAAAGACATTAAGAAAATGGCATTTAAAATCAGTCATTAAAAAGAAAAGCTAATAAAAGAAACATTAAAAGAAAAAATACATGGATAAAAGTTACAGTGCAGTCTAAGATATGAATAGTTCAATTAAAAGCAGCGACAAAAAGAAAAGTCTTCAGCCTGGATTTAAAAGTAGTCAGAGTTGCAGCGGACCTGCAGGTTTCTGGGAGTTTGTTCCAGATATTTGGAGCATAATAACTGAACGTCTCCATGTTTAGTTCTGACTCTGGGGACAGAAAGCTGACCAGTCCCTGAAGACCCTGATAGGTGGAGAGTTGCCCATATAGGCGGAGCACCCCGTTTCTGACGTCAGAACAATTTCAAATCTGTATCAGTCTGTATCAGCTCCGTTGCAGCTGCGTTTTTAGAGATTTGGGTACGGAGGAAAAGAGAGAGGGTTGTGTTTTCTGACCCCTGGTGAGTTCCCTGACACACCGGGGACACATCTTCATGTATAAAAGACGTACACAAGTGCATTTTGCACGATAGGTCACCTTTAAGTATGTACTATACCGATTTTTGTGAATATTTTTTCTGTAGCCTAGACCTAATAGTGAAAAGGCTTTCCTATTTATGTTCTATAAAAGATTAGATTAGCTTCAACTTTATTGTCATTGCACAGAGTACATGTGCTATGACAGTTAGCATCTAACCAGAAGTGCAAGACAAGTAAGAAAGCAGTTTTATTCAGAGTATAATATAAATATATACATATAAAAGGGAAGCCATATCAAGCCTTGAGCGTGTGGGTCACATGTTCTGTTTCCCCTCTCCCCGTGCACAGACTGAGCGTTCTGTTCCTCTGCAGGTGCTGTGTGTGAAGAACCTGAGTGCTCGGGCCTCGCTGGCCCAGCTGGTGGCGCTGTTCTCCAGGTACGAGCAGCAGAGCGCCCCCCCGCTGCTCTACCGCCTGCTGACAGGACGCATGAAGGGCCAGGCCTTCATCACTCTGCCAGGTGAGAAACTATGACATCATTATGGTTTGGGAGGGAGGCGTGTGGTGCAGCGTGTTGAGCGTGTGGTGCAGCGTGTGGTGCAGCGGGTTGAGCGCGTGGTGCAGCGGGTTGAGCGCGTGGCGCAGCGGGTTGAGCGCGTGGCGCAGCGGGTTGAGCGCGCGGCGCAGCGGATTGAGCGCGCGGCGCAGCGGGTTGAGCGCGCGGCGCAGCGGGTTGAGCGGGCGGCGCAGCGGGTTGAGCGTGTGGCGCAGCGGGTTCAGCGTGTGGTGCAGCGTGCGGTGCAGCGGGTTGAGCGTGCGGTGCAGCGGGTTGAGCGTGTGGTGCAGCGGGTTGAGCGTGTGGTGCAGCGTGTGGTGCAGCGTGTGGTGCAGCGGGTTGAGCGTGTGGTGCAGCGGGTTGAGCGTGTGGTGCAGCGTGTGGTGCAGCGTGTGGTGCAGCGGGTTGAGCGTGTGGTGCAGCGGGTTGAGCGTGTGGTGCAGCGTGTGGTGCAGCGGGTTGAGCGTGCGGTGCAGCGGGTTGAGCGGGAGGTGCAGCGGGTTGAGCGTGTGGTGCAGCGGGTTGAGCGTGTGGTGCAGCGTGTGGTGCAGCGGGTTGAGCGTGCGGTGCAGCGGGTTGAGCGTGCGGTGCAGCGGGTTGAGCGTGTGGTGCAGCGTGTGGTGCAGCGGGTTGAGCGTGCGGTGCAGCGGGTTGAGCGTGCGGTGCAGAGGGTTGAGCGTGCGGTGCAGCGGGTTGAGCGTGCGGTGCAGCGGGTTGAGCGGGTGGCGCAGCGGGTTGAGCGCGCGGCGCAGCGGGTTGAGCGCGCGGCGCAGCGGGTTGAGCGTGCGGCGCAGCGGTTGAGCGTGCGGCGCAGTGGGTTGAGCGTGCGGCGCAGCGGGTTGAGCGCGCGGCGCAGCGGGTTGAGCGGGCGGCGCAGCGGGTTGAGCGGGCGGCGCAGCGGGTTGAGCGGGCGGCGCAGCGGGTTGAGCGGGCGGCGCAGCGGGTTGAGCGGGCGGCGCAGCGGGTTGAGCGGGCGGCGCAGCGGGTTGAGCGGGCGGTGCAGCGGGTTGAGCGGGTGGCGCAGCGGGTGGTGCAGTGGGTTGAGCGCGTGGCGCAGCGTGTGGAGCGTGTGGAGCGGGTGGTGCAGCGGGTTGAGCGGGTGGTGCAGCGTGTGGAGCGGGTGGTGCAGCGGGTTGAGCGGGTGGTGCAGTGGGTTGAGCGGGTGGTGCAGAGGGTTGAGCGCGTGGCGCAGCGTGTGGAGCGGGTGGCGCAGCGGGTTGAGCGGGTGGCGCAGAGGGTTGAGCGGGTGGTGCAGCGGGTTGAGCGTGCGGTGCAGCGGGTTGAGCGTGCGGTGCAGCGGGTTGAGCGGGTGGTGCAGCGGGTTGAGCGGGTGGTGCAGCGGGTTGAGCGTGTGGTGCAGAGGGTTGAGCGGGTGGTGCAGTGGGTTGAGCGGGTGGTGCAGCGTGTGGAGCGGGTGGTGCAGTGGGTTGAGCGGGTGGTGCAGCGTGTGGAGCGGGTGGTGCAGCGGGTTGAGCGGGTGGTGCAGTGGGTTGAGCGGGTGGTGCAGAGGGTTGAGCGCGTGGTGCAGAGGGTTGAGCGCGTGGCGCAGCGTGTGGAGCGGGTGGCGCAGCGGGTGGTGCAGTGGGTTGAGCGCGTGGCGCAGCGTGTGGAGCGGGTGGTGCAGCGTGTGGCGCAGCGGGTTGAGCGCGTGGCGCAGCGGGTTGAGCGCGTGGTGCAGTGGGTTGTGCGTTAGTGTTCGGATCAGGGTGTCACAGGTTCAAACCCCACTGCAGTCAGCATGTCGTTGTGTCCCTGAGACTCTTCACCCCAAGTTGCTCCTGTGGGGATTGTCCACAGTATTGAGTATGTAAGTCGCTTTGGATAAAAGCATCTAACAAGTGACATGTAATGTCATGTCATGTTAATGGAAGTGAAATGTCTTCCTGTTTAACCCCGTATACAGACATTACACTTTGTTGCACATTTCTGCTCCACACTACCTCTTTTTAAATCTGCACAGCTCTCCACTTTGAATATAGTATTTGTCATATTTTATTTTATTTACTTTATTCTTACATGTAAATATTGTCTTTATTTTTTATTTGTTACAAGATTGTTCCTATTTATTTACACAAACATGGACATAACAACAATATACGGGAGATTGTCCGGTACCTTGCTCAAGGGCACCACGGCAGGGCCCAGGAGGTGAACTGGGACCTCTCCAAGTAGCAGTCCATACTCCATATTTAGGAGGAAGAGGGATGAAGGGGATGATGAAGATCTGGATTTGATGAGGAAGAGGGATTTTATTTATTTAACAGGGACATTAATGAACATTTCTGTAAACGTGCCAGAGTTAGCCAAGAGGCTATTTTTCATCTGTAGTCCCTGGACAGATTTTAAAAGTCAATGAAGAGGATGCTGAAGATCTGGATTTGATGAAGAAGAGGGATGAAGGGGATGCTGAAGATCTGGATTTGATGAAGAAGAGGGATGAAGAGGATGCTGAAGATCTGGATTTGATGAAGAAGAGGGATGAAGGGGATGCTGAAGATCTGGATTTGATGAAGAAGAGGGATGAAGAGGATGCTGAAGATCTGGATTTGATGAAGAAGAGGGATGAAGGGGATGCTGAAGATCTGGATTTGATGAAGAAGAGGGATGAAGGGGATGTTGAAGATCTGGATTTGATGAAGAAGATAGCAGCTGACTGCAGGACAGATGAGAACAATTTGACTGCAGCTCGATGATTGGCTGCTGGAGATCGTGGTGAAATGTGATTGGGCAAAAGAGAACGCCCATTATGAGCTGATTAAAGCAGCTGGAGGGTGGAGGAATGTAGAGCCAGGCTTCCTGCTTGAGCTTCAACACTATGTTTTGCTCCTTTCTTTAAAAACGAGCTTCTTTATGTGTCTTTGAATGCACCATTTACGCTAAAACAAGTTCCTCTCATGTGTAAACCTACTTAATACAAACTGATTCTGATTCTGTGACACACACACACACACACACACACACACACACACACACACACACACACACACACACACACACTGACCGACATGAATAAACTAAGCTGTGTGCTTTTCATTAAACATCAGATCTGTATGTGTGTGTTTTCCTTTTGGCAGACGCTGAAACGGCCCAGAAGGCTTTGCAGTTGGTCCATGGATACCGGTTGCTAGGGAAACCTTTGGTGGTTGAGTTTGGCCGTGAGCGACAGGAAGACGAGAAACAGAAGGAGAAGCAGGAGGAGAGGAAATAGTAGAGATAAAACGTTTATTCCTGACAGCAGCCTGAACAACGGGGCGGAGATGGATGTGTATTATTTATTATGGTCTTTTCCTTTTAATAAATATCTGTTTTGCACCAAAGCAACGTTTGTCATGAGTTTTCTGGAGCTACAGTAAAATGTTTGTCATATTTTTATAACCATAGTTTAGTTACAAGTTTCAGGCCTTCGAGCCATAACATCTTGAGGAGATATTTGTAATTTTTTTGCTGGTTATCTGACAAAATATTGAGGTTATATTGAGGATATAATTAAAAAAAATGGTTGCTTTTACTCATAAATGGTCAGTCATCTTGTCTAATATCACCTGGTATAGTATTGCAGGTGTGGGTTGCATGAATGACATGAAACTGAACCCTCTGACCTTTTTATAATCAATATCTGCATCATCATGTTCAGTCAGAGGGATGTACTCACTGTGTGTGAAATCATGGGCGGACTGGCTATTGGGAATACCGGGAGTTTTCCCGGTGGGTCGGTCGGACAATTATTTTGTATCTACATGTTACCCAATACTGCTTATTGAAACCTGTTTAATCACAGTGTTATTCTTCTTTCGGACACTAGAGGGAGGCATTTACACAATAATAGTCGGTCCGGTTTTAAAAGACACTTTGAAACACAGCAGTATCCATAACGTTTGTTTTTACAGACGATAACGCACATAGCTCCTATAATGACGCTTATTTTAACCGCACATATTGTTGGTACTGCGGCACTGAGCGGTGAATTCATAACTTCAAGCAAGACATCTAAAATCGCTAACTAAGTAATAAATGAATGCTTGAAGTGTGTGTGTGTGTGTGTGTGTGTGTGTGTGTGTGTGTGTGTGTGTGTGTGTGTGTGTGTGTACAGTGCACTTATCTCTGGTGTTCTCTCGGTCAGTGAGTAGGTTCAGTTTCTGACCAGATTCCAGTTGCATGTATTTTAGGTTTGAACATCATTGGTGGATTCTCCAAACACTTCTAGAGGTCTTCACCGCTCCAAAACACTTTGTAGTTTATCTGGAAAAACACTGTTTATATTTGCATTTATGTGGTGCCTCTAATTTTGTATCTGCAACTGGAAAACAATCACACGTTGAGGATGAATTGTTGTACATTTAGTGATGAAGACTATAGATGTCTTATAGACGACACCAATAATAACCTGCTCGTCACGACCTGGTCACGACCCATACCTTGTCATTTAAAGACAAGTATTCAATGTTTGTGTTTACTTTTATTGATAACTGTTTTCTTATATGGAATCATTCATATGAATGTACCGCTCCCACTGTTATCCACCTCTTTATTTATGGGAGACATTTGACCTTTTCTCTCATTTGTGTATTTGTCTCTGTGACAGTAATGCACGTATGGGGCGAAGCCTGCAAGCTAGTTCAGGCAGTCAACTCGAGCACTTAAAGCCGACACATCTTCCGGCGCAGACTGAAAACTCATCTCTTTCGACTCCACTTCGAGCGATAGAATTACTAACAAAGAATTACTAACAAACCACTTATATACTAATAAAGGACTGGCTTATCTAAAGCCAGTTGAGTAGCACTTGAAATGTTTGGCTCTATGAAACCTGATGTACTTTTATGATTCTGTTTTCTTCTAGTTTGTATCTTCTTGGTCGAATGAACTTATTGTAAGTCGCTTTGGATAAAAGCGTCAGCTAAATGTAATGTAATGTAACTTATGCTGCATTCATACATAACACCCCTTGCCACTCTACAACCAACCAACCAGAGTCTCCTTAATATGCCGCTCTATTGAACCTGCCAGATCTCTCTCCATGCATTGCTTGCTGCTGCTATTGCTACCTCTACCTCTACGTCGCTGCTGCTTGCTGCCCCACCACCACCACCTGTAGGCTCGGGGGGTTAGTTATTTAATCATCACTCATGGTGCTTTGTATATCTGTGGAGTGAGGGGCCCGAGCGTAGACGCTAAACTCAACTATATGCTGCTTCTAATACACATGTTAAAGAAACACGTGAGTTGTCTGACTGAAAATGCCTAGAGACAAAATAACCACTGCTAAACTCTGATATGATGAATGTTTGAACTTTTATTGATAACTTATTGATTGTTTAGAATATTTCATAATTGTTTACATTTATTAAAATGATAAACCAACAGTGTCAGCACTGATGTGTGTGTTTGTGCGTATTGTGAATGTTTTCTTTATTATCATGACTTGCTCCCTACCTGTATTCAGTGATGTCATCTATTGGGCGTCTGTGGCTCAGTGGATAGTGTGCTGGACTTTGAATCAGGGGATAGCAAGTTCGAGTCCCACTGCAGTCAGCATGTCGTTGTGTCCCTGAGACACTTCACCCCAAAGTGCTCCTGTGGGGATTGCCCACAGTGTTGAGTATGTAAATCGCTTTGGGTAAAAGTGTTTAACAAATTATATGTACTTTTTTGTTTTGTATAACAATGTAGTGGTATCTTTATTCTTGCTTTTAGGATGCCTATCACCATCTGGCAAAGGGACTATCGGTGAAAACTAGCCTTTTGGCTAATTCGAGTACATTCACATGTTTTTAATATGTTGATTCATGTACACACTGTCCCTTGTTTTAACCCTTAAGTTGTGTTGGGTTCTCCCGTGACCCGTTTCAAGTTAAAATGATATAATAACTACGCTCTAGTTCTTTGTATGGGAACAAGGCTTCATGATATCCTCCACAGCACAACTATATAAACACTACAAAACAGATTTTGACAATTTTAGCCAAGCCAAAAAAAAAGTGTATGATTTGGTGTTGGGGTCTGGGGAGACCCAGCAGAATTGTTTTGGGTGACTTGGGGTCAAATTTGGTCCAATCAAGATTCATCTTTGACTTTAGACACCCCTCCCCCTCCCCCTTCATCCACTGTAACAATAATTAAAAACCTTTTGGGGGGAGATTGCATCTAATAGTCTATTATAGTCAGATAACGTAATGATCCACTGTCTTCACTATAGGAAATATAATGAGTGAATTGAATCACATGTGGTGTAATTTGGTCCATAACATTAAATGACAACAGGATTGTACGGTTATGAATGCATTATAAGTTAGTTATGATGTAGTTAAAACCATTTTGGATGATAGTCATTATTTTTGTGTGTTTTGGACTGAGATAAATCATGGGTCAAAATGTACCCGCGAACACCATGAACGGAAACAGCTTTTGAAAACAACACAAGGGTTAAATCAACCAAATCAATTCAATGTCCCACTGTTATCCACCTGATTAAAAACTCAATTTCTTTATGGGTGAAATTGTACTTTTTCTCTCATTTGTGTGTTTATCTCTGTGACAGTAAGGCCCATGGAAGCCTAAACACAGAAAGCCTATTTGTATGTCACTGCTGAACTCTGATATGATGAAGCCTGACCTCCTGCTCCTGTGATTACACTTCTCCGCTCCTCTCAGACCTGATGAACAGTTCCCACAGACCTGATCCACAGATAGCTCGTTAAAAGTGAAATCATCCCCTCGTGCACTTTGCAGAGCCACATGTTATCAGGCTGTGTGACAGTGAGCTGACCCAGTAAACAGCGCTCTGCTCTCACGACCCTGCGGAGAGTCAAACTGCATCGGTATCGATCAGACTGAACCTGTAGGCTCAGGTTTGTTTGTGTCGATGCTTTTGTTTGCCTTCAGTTCAGGGCTGTGATCTTTCTCTCATTCTGCACTGTAAAAACACGGTTAGAAACTCACCTCTGACAGCTGCACTCTTTACTTATTAACAGCTGCTCTATTCAAAAGCCTTCATGGGACACTTAGTGGATGGTTACACTCTAAAGCTGTGTTTATATGATACTGAAGGGAACACTTTTACACAATACACACCTAACTGACTGCAAATAAACATGTTCTAAAAGAAAATCTGCATCTATCTAAGTACTTTGTTGGAGCTTCTTCTTTGTTGCACTTCTATATTTTTCTATATATTTTGCATTTTGGAGAATACACTTATTTTGCCTCTTTCCCAGTATGAAGGCACTACACATTTAACACCTACATACAGTATGTTTTGCATGAGACACAGCTATATACTTAATTATGGGACTCAAGTTTTATTGCAGTGTCTATATACATTAAAGCACACATGTCAAACTCAAGGCCCGGGGGCCAAATCAGGGCCTTGGTGGATTTAATTTCGGCCCGCAGGATAATTTCTAATTACTATTAGATCTGGCCCGCCGGTATATTGCACGCACACCTTCACTCCATCCTGAGGGTCTCCTCAGCTCAGAGACAAACATTGATGACCTTGCACCCAAGATGAGATGCCAAGTATCTGAGCTAGCATCACAGAGCAGCACACTGAGTTTAATGGATGTTTCCTTCTGCACTTTCTCTCTCGACAACAGGCCATGTTTGGTTTTCTCTTTGAGGGAAATAGTTTTGTTGAAGCTGTTGTTGGCCTGTGGGGAAATGTAATCATAAGAAATGACTCAGCTGCAGATAGAGCCATAAGAAATGAATGCACCTGATTATTTAATGTTGTTTTTATAGGCAATAATTTAAGCTTTGTTAGTTCCAGGTTTAATATGTGCAATAAGTTCATTTCAATAAGTTCTGCAATAAACATAGAACCAGTCCGGCCCTCGACTAGTACCCATTTTTTTATTTTGGCCCACTGTGTATTTGAGTTTGACCCCCCTGCTTTAAGGCTTTCATGGTGTACACAGTTGTAATTCTATACTTAACTGTGCGGCTCCCTTTGTAATGCAGCTGTCTACGTATTCAACCATTCATGGTGTATAAGACAGTGTTTTGGTGGACAAGAAATCAACAGATGATAATAAGAAAAGTAAGCATTTATTTCCAAATAGAAAACATTGAAACACGTTGATATAATTGGTGTGGTGTTTAGTTCAAATCAGTTGGCAAAAGGTTGTTCTGTAAATCAAATAAGCAAAGGGATAATAAACAGATTGACAAAAGACTTGATCTTGTTCCCTGTTATAAAGAAAAAGATCCTGGTGGTAAAGTGTGAGTTGTAAATGTCACACATCAATAATTATTTTCAATTGTTGGCGATGTTTCCAATAAAAAAGCATTTTGCACCATGGCTCCATATGACCGTGTTTGCAGGGGAATATATCCTTACACTAGTTAAACATAAGTCTCACACGAATGACAATATGCATAAATATATGTCCTTAAAATGCCAAATACAGGAGATACATCCTGCAACACCCAGCATATTTCATAATTCAAATGAATGTCAACTCATATACAGACGGCTTACAGTGTAATAATGATTATAAGGCACAATATGAATTAACATGAAAACAGCATTGAATACATTTGTGTCTGAATTGTCAGGAATCAGGAAGACAATCACATTTTGATTTCAAACAAAAATCATCTGAAGTTAGTACAAATATTTACTGGATATTCAAGAGACCAAATCAATGAATGGTGCTACAGTGAACCATTTACATATTTACTGCCATGAAAATTATATCCATGCTTTTGTTGTATTTGTAATATATGAAAGTGTTGAATTGTATCGCTCCAATCCTAAACATTTCGTACTCAAACAATTGGCACCACGACATCAGACATAACTGTGTTTACATTTGGCTGCTGTGAACATCCTCAAATGTGTTTCCAACAGACACACGCACGCACGCACGCACGCACACACACGCACACACACACGCACACACACACACACACGCACACACACACGCACACGCACACGCACACACACACGCACACACACACACACACGCACACACACACGCACACCACACGCACACACACACGCACACACACATGCACGCACACACACGCACACACACACGCACACACACACACACACACACGCACACACACTTATACACATACAAACCCTAACCTTGTGAAAGACAGTCCCGCTTTGTGAAAATGATAAACAACACGATCAAAGGCTCCTTTAATCTTCACATTTGTGTTAATGTTTGTATGTGTGTGTGTGTGTGTGTGTGCGTGCATGCGTGCGTGTGCGTGTGTGTGTAGTTTGTACATTGGTATGACTTTTCTACATAATAAATGAGTTGCCATCAACGTAATGGAAATGTGTGACACCCTACAATAATGATCAGACACTTAGAGAGAAAAGACTGTAACAAGTTTCAGTCTAATGGTGCTGTTGTTGTCATAGCTCCTCTCTATGTGTGTGTGTTGTCTCCTGGGTTCTGTAGTGCCCGGAGTCTGTCTTTTTATTTGTTTTCCTCCCAAACCCCATCCCCTCAGGAAGCCTTTGCCTCCTGGCAGGTCATCATTGTAAATAAGAATTTGTTCTTAATTGATTTTCCTGGATAAATAAAAAGGTTCTACTGTTGTCATCGTTACCTTTGAACTTTCCAACACTGAAATGCCAGAATTTATTCAGCAATCTTTTGTAAAGCTTTAAAAGGGCCATATTCTGCTAAATGTCTGTTTAAGTTTTGTATGTAGTGTCTCTACTTTAAAGAGTCCTCTCCTGCTGATGTTCAGGTGTATATCAGTATGTAGTGTCTCTACTTTAAAGAGTCCTCTCCTGCTGATGTTCAGGTGTATATCAGTATGTAGTGTCTCTACTTTAAAGAGTCCTCTCCTGCTGATGTTCAGGTGTATATCAGTATGTAGAGTCTCTACTTTAAAGAGTCCTCTCCTGCTAATGTTCAGGTGTATATCAGTATGTAGTGTCTCTACTTTAAAGAGTCCTCTCCTGCTGATGTTCAGGTGTATATCAGTATGTAGTGTCTCTACTTTAAAGAGTCCTCTCCTGCTGATGTTCAGGTGTATATCAGTATGTAGTGTCTCTACTTTAAAGAGTCCTCTCCTGCTGATGTTCAGGTGTATATCAGTATGTAGTGTCTCTACTTTAAAGAGTCCTCTCCTGCTGATGTTCAGGTGTATATCAGTATGTAGTGTCTCTACTTTAAAGAGTCCTCTCCTGCTGATGTTCAGGTGTATATCAGTATGTAGAGTCTCTACTTTAAAGAGTCCTCTCCTGCTGATGTTCAGGTGTATATCAGTATGTAGTGTCTCTACTTTAAAGAGTCCTCTCCTGCTGATGTTCAGGTGTATATCAGTATGTAGTGTCTCTACTTTAAAGAGTCCTCTCCTGCTGATGTTCAGGTGTATATCAGTATGTAGTGTCTCTACATGTCTCCATGCTTTAATGTTCAAAAAGCTCTTTATTGTTCTCATACTGTCTGTGCTGCAGCACCTCTTGTCACCCTCTGTCTGAAACCAGAGCCCAGTCTGCTCTGATTGGTTAGCTGGCCGGCTCTGTTCTGATTGATCAAGCGCTTAGAGATGTCCCGCCCCTTAGCCTATCACGTACGCTATAGCTAATGGAAGCGCGCGAGTGTTACATAGTGATGTCACTTTGTTGCGAAAGTAAACAGAGGAGTCCAATGGAGGCATTTTCAGGCAGGGGGGGGGAGTGATTTTAGCCTTTTCAGACCATTTACATGCACAAAAAACCTATATAACACACTACAGGAAAGGGAAAACCCAAACAATTATAATAGGGCCCCTTAAACAAATTAAAGACCCCCCCACAGAGTAAGTTGTGTGTTCAGTTTGTCCATAAATGCGCAGAAATACAAAAATACATATAATAAAAGTTGCCACGGAGCCACATTTAAAGGTGTGACGGAGTGGCCTCAGACGTATCCTGTGATGTCATATCCTGCGGCGGGCTTCTTGCCGCCCTGCCCTGCCTGAGCGCTGGCCTGCGAGCTGTGGCTGGTGGTTCTCAGCCTGTTCCCGCCCCCCGCCTGCAGGATGGGGTTGTGGTAGGTCTGTGAGGTCATCCGTGCCCCCTGTCCCGGGACCCCAGGATACGGGTACCCTCCCCCCCCGAGCCTCCTCCCCCCCCCCCCCTCCTCCCTGCTCATCACAACACGACACACACAGCATCGCCCCGCCCAGCATGGAGATGAGCGAGGAGGCCAGGCCCACGTACAGAGACTCCCCCAGCTCGAACTTCATGCTGGTGGGCACGTTGGGCTGGTAGAAGGTCTGGACCACTTCATGGGTGGTCCACGCGACCGGGATGAGTGACAGGAAGCCAGCGGATAAGAACATCCCCCCGCTGGCTCCTGCTACTCGACTCTTCACGGCTCCGGACCCCTCCAGGCAGAGCGTGCACTGCATCCCCAGGGCGGCCATGGCTATAGCGAGGATGGAGAGCACCACGGAGATGACCATGAGCGCGCGGGACGCCTGCAGGTTGGGGGGCAGCGCCAGCATGGAGTTGTAGGTCTCGCACTGGAAGGCCCCCGTACTCTGGAACACACACTCCATCCAGAGGCCCCGCATGTTGGCCACCGCCGTCACGATGTTGGAGCCGATGTGCGCCGAGATCTGCCAGTACGGGAGCACCGTGGCAACCGTGGTGCCCAAAAGACCCAGCAGACCCAGGAAGAAACCCATCAGCTCCAGAGCCGCCGACGCCATGGCAACGACTGGGATGGAGAAGAGCAGAAAGCATTGACATTTGTGTTTAGACAGTGGATGCATTTAATAATGTCAAAATTCAGTTTCTGTAATGATTTCAACATCCAAGAAGAACTGGGCAGGAGGAGACCCAAAAGCAAAATGTTGTCATTGTTTGTTGTTTGTGTTTAGACAATGGAGGTAATGTCAAAATGTAGTTCCTGTAAAACATCTAGATTCTAAGCCATGCTATTGAATTTGAAGAAAGCTAAACACATTAGTCCGTCAACACAATTAAAGCCACGTTATTTAATGGACTGACCCAAAAGCATTGTCCTTTGTGTTTAGACTGTGGATGTAATAATGAATGTCATAATTGAGTTCCTGTAACAAATCAATGGATGCGTAACGTCAGCCGAACATAGTCTTTCAATAAAAATCAAAGCCACTTTAATGTTTTTTCAATCCTATATTTGCATTTTAAATCCCCAAACAACCATCTCTGCAATCATATTCACTTTATTAGACTGTAACACTACTGCTGTTGAGAGATGACTATGTGCAATATACTCTTTGACAATGCTTTCATCTTATGAGTGGCTGCTTCTTCAATACATTCATATGAAAATGTATTTTTCTTTACTGCTACACATTTTGAATAACAGTATACATAAAGTATAAGATTAACACACTTAAATACATTTAAAAAAGTAAGATAAAGTAGTAGATAGAAGATGTTTGTTAGAAGGTGAAATCAAATGCAAACAGTATCAAGTTTACTGTCGCAGCTTTCAAATGAGCTGAATACATTCTATAAGTGTTGACATTTATTTTGGTGTAATTGCCATTTTGGTTTGTTGATATCATTTTGTCATTATTTTCCCTGAGAGGGCGATGTCAGAAATGGCTGTTATCTCACTCAAAATTACTGTTTACGACGTGAGAGGTCTTTACTCGTCTTCTGTTAATGACAGTGTGTAACATACGGCGTTACCTCGGCATTAACTGTCTGGAAAACATTGGCAGAGTCCAGCCACCTGTCACTGACCGAGTGAGGCTAAACAAACCCACTGCTGTAGGTTTCAAATCAGAAACGCTGATACAGACGTTATGGTGGACGAACTGACTCACTATTGCAACACAAGCACACGTCAGTAAACAGCTTAGATTTGCAGTGGTGGGAGAAGTACTCACATGTTTTACTCAAAAGTAGAATTAACATTTCAAGTAACACTCTTGAATTGATTAAAAATGTCTCTTAAGTAAAGGTACAAACGTATACAAGCCAATGTAATCCAATTTTGAAAAGTAGAAGCAATCATTAATGCCTATACTTTCAGTGTAAGTAAATAACAGGGGACGTTATTTACTTACGGTAAAATGTATCACCGTGATAAAATGTATCACGGTGACACCTGCAGTGTCGAAAATGCATGAATTTTACATTACATATCTCTAAAGACTGTTTTCTCAAAAGTCGTTTTTTCTCATATTCAGAGACGGAAATCTCCACTTTAGCAGTTTTACGTTTCCATTTTGTATTCCTTTTTTATATTATTTAGGTTTCCAATGAGGGGTATGTTATCTATTATCCATAGCCTGGATTTGATCACATTTTAAAACGAAAAAACAGCAGGAATCTGACGGTATTTACAAAAGATATCCAAAATCCCATCTGTAAAAACCTTTGACTCTCAAAGTCAACAAAGGAAACAAGAATTTTGAACCTAGCTGTTTCTCATATTCGAGGTTAGAAATCTCCCCTTTGACATCCCTTACATTCATCAAACCTTCCAGTTTCATTCCTATCAATATTCAGTATATTCAGATTGTTCCAGAGTGGTTTGTGCTCATTTATACAACACTTTATTCTTAAAAACATGGCACAAATCGATTACTTTTTTGGTCTTTGACCCCATTTGATGTCCAGAACCCTCTCTGTAAAACCCTTCAACCAAATAAAACATTATCTTTTAAACTGACTTTGTCCAGTTCCCATAATGTTAGCAAATTAGCCGACATGTTAAAAGAGAAGTGCGTAATTAAACGTAGAAATGCTGAAAAATATCGACAGTAATCTACTACGGAAACATCCTGTTGGAACATTGTGTGTCATTATGTGTCCTCTGCTTGTACCTCATACACTCAAAACATTAATATGTACCACTACACACACACACACACTTGCTGCCAAATGAAATGCATTACCTGTTATTGCAGCAGCTGATGAAAGACTCGTTGAGGGTGTGATTCTGTGTTTAGTTCAGGATCTGAAGTTGCAGCTGGAGCAGAGGATGGAGCAGAGGTGTTCAGACCCTCCTCTGATGTTCCTGTTTTCCTTCTGTTTTCCGGCTTCTTCCAGCAACAAGAAATATGTGTTTTCCTACGTGCTGTCTCAGACTCTGACTGCCTCCTCAGACCTTGACATAGTCGCAGCTGTTGTGTCGCTGCTGTACTTTTAATAAGCACTTACCCTGCTGGCTGCGTTGGACCAAAGGGAGCCAAGAAAACAATTTCTGATGAAGAAATACAATCCTTTGAGTTTTGATATGCCGCCTGTTGTAAAAGACTTTCCACTCAAAGCAGCAATAATAGATGTGACTGCCTCTGTCATTGTCTCTGCTCAAGTGTGTGATCTCTGTCCCTCATCCAGACCTTCACCACCTGTCACACACACACACACACACACGGTGACAGTGACACACACACATGCATCATCATTGGTTAATCATTCTCTCATCGGTCATCTCTCCAAAACAGACGGCTCAGTCTGGAGAATAAACGTGAAGCAGATCCCTGAAAGAAGATGAATATTTCAGGATATTAGTTTTCTCTATGGTTGAGTGGAAAATGTTTAATTCAGCAAAAGATTTAGGCGTCATATTACTTTAATGGAAGAAAAACAAGTTATCCTTTCATGTTACGAGGAAAGTGTCTCCGCAGGAATCCCAAAATAGCTTGTGAACATTTTTGTATTTTAAATGAAAATGAGAACTGGAGTTAACCAGCCTGGAGCAAGGACAATGAGGATCTTTTTTCACTCTTGAAATAATTAGTTTCTATCTAAATTAAGTTTCATCGAGTCTTATTCCTTTTCATATCTTTCATTTTGGGATTCACAACAGAGAGGTTCTCCCCGGAAAGACAGACTGGAGGTTATCAATGTGTTGGTACTTCACTTTGTCATTTGTCAATTGTTCAAACCTTGCTTTGTCATTCATCTGTGTTTGCACATACAGTATAACGTCTACAAAGGGACCAAGACGATTAGACCACAAAGGGACAAATAACGATGACAAGGAGACAAAAGGACCACAGAGTGAAATATAACAATTAAGGACACAGAGACAGAAATGAATAAATCACGCCCACAAAAATAACCACAAGAGACACAAATGACTGCAAAGAGATACAAAGTGAACACAAAATGATGAAGAACTGACACTCTATGAACACAAAGTACCACAAAATGACCATACAGACCCAAAATGACTAAGAAGTGACACTTAATGACCACAGAGCAACACTAAATGTCTCCAAAGATACACTTAATTAGACAAAATGTCAACAAAGACACAATGTGATCACAAAGAGACATGAAACTACTATTAAATTAAACAAAAGGACCACAGAGACCCAAAGGACTAAGAAGTGACACTTAGTGAGGACAAATCAACACTACATTTCAACAAAGATACACAAAATAACTACACTTAATGTGACCACAAAGAGACATGAAAATACTATCAAATTAATCGTGACTCGATAATTAAACAAAATTACCACAAAACAACTTTGAAAGAAAAACCTATACATTCTATCTGTCTTGCAACTCCGTAAGATCATGGGCCTGTTGCATATCTGCACCCCGAGCCCACTGTCTCATAATCCACACATATCTGGTCTAAACAAACCTAGTTATTTTTGAATGGCACATTGGAGAATCTACTGAAAAAACAGAAACGTTGACTTTTTTGATTAAATGTGTTACTGTATGTCAACAGATTTCACATAACTGTAATAGCTTAGTTCAGCGGTTCCCAAACTTTTTCAGTCGCGACCCCCCTTGGGTATTGGAAATATTTTCGGGACCCCCCGACCCGGTTCCCATCTATATTGGTAGGATTAATTGTATATTGTTGTAAAAACATTACATTTTCTCTGCTAATAATAAGAAGATACAAAGATCCAACTATCATTTTATATTTTATTATGGATTACACATGAACAAAAGTGCTTGTAATAGATACTGTGAATTAATTTGGCCTAATTAAAACTAGCAGGCCTTCTTCCCTGAGTAGTAGATTTTTAAATTCAAATTTCTTTAAGGAAAATATATTAATTAACTACTATTTCTACTGCAGGTTGCAAACGATCACATCACTTTACCATTCCTATTCCACACTAGTTTATCAATGACTTGTGTGTGCTTGCTTTCCCTCGCAGATCTTCTCAAAGCGGGGCTGTTGTTTTGAGAATGCCTCTCAGTTCATTCTCAATGTTCAGCTTTGATCTGTATTTGGTTTTGATGGCAGCAACAGCAGAAAAAGCCTATCTCACACAAGTAATGTTGCAAAAGGCAGCATTATGCCCACAGCTCTCTGACCGATGAGATATTTTCGAGCAGTGTTTGATTACAATTGAATAATAATAATAATACATTTGATTTATATAGGTGCACGTCATCTCAAGGTGCTTCACAAAGCTAAAAGGAGAAAATAATAAAATAAAAAAATCTTCCCGCGACCCCCCTGCAGTACCTCCGCGACCCACCAGGGGTCGCGCCCCACAGTTTGAAAACCACTGGTTTAGTTGAAAGCATTAATATCAAGTTTAAATAAACAGGCTCAACTTAATTGTATTGCTTTCAACCAACCTAATAGAGTCGACTTTCAGTTTTTTCAGTGTACACAATCCTGTCGTACTTCATTGTGAATGTATTGCTCATTTAAACTGAGACCAAACGTGGCTGCCTGATTGGCATCATCCTCCATCAGCTGCTGATCCTGAGAGCTATCAAAAACATGGAAACAACAAATAAATCCTACCATGTCAGAGTACCTCCAGATGTTCCCTCCTTCATCGGTCAGTGTATATCGGTGTCAGAGGTTCTGGACACACAGTTCGCTGCTGATCCCGTCCTGAAGCTCCAGTGTTTGCTTTCTAATCCCTCGGACCGGCGCCCACATTGCAGCAGCATCATAATGGGATTATGGTGTAATCCAGTCACTTCCCCTCCGCCACAGAACCAGAGGGCAACGTCCACACGCTCTCAAACACTGAGCTGTTATTATAAATCACAGAGGGGCATTATCTGCATATTAAGAAGGCGGCTCAGGTCAGCTTGTGACTCTTTGTTACTCTGTTGTGGCGGCTGATGGTTCTTTATTTAGTCATACGAACACTGTAGTTCTTCAACGATTTACTGTCAATGAGTGAGAGTTATCACGGCCTAAGTATCCTTAGAACATGTCTTGGAAATTGGTATTACAACAAAATATGATGTCTACTTATATCTTGTGGTGTGTATACATTATATACACTTATTGTTCTCACTTTTTCTTTTGCTCTGTATTGTTGTTCTTGATTTCTTTTAGATTTTTGTCTACTGATTGTTTTATATTTCTTCTTTTATTTAGTTGTATTTTTGATAAATGATGTGTATTTGTTATCTTTGGAAGGAAGACCCTTTGCTCCTTGGCCTCTCATGTCAAGTTTCTACATTTTTCTTATGTGTGTGCAAATAAAACCATAAAATGAGATGAAATAAATCAAAATAAAACATAGAATATATTGGTAGCGCTAAATAGACACATTTGTGGTAGTATAACCTTGGTAAGATCTCTAAACACACACCATATCTCCAAAAATATGTTTAAACATTACACCCTTAAATGTGTCATTTCTCAACAATGGGCATTTGTCTGTTACTGTAACAGCCTCCACTCTTCTGGGAAGGATTACTACAAGATTTTAGCTTTAGGAATGTTCTCCTATTGAGGCACAAGAGCATTAGGGAAGTCATGCACTGATGCTGGGTGAGACTCACAATCAGCGTGTCAGTGTTTCTCAAACAAGGTGTTGGTTGTATTTGTGGAGGCGAAAAGACTTCCCGAAACTCATAATTGTATCATCATCTTATCCCTCTTATTTTAAAAGCACATACATTTTATAAAAATAGCTTTCTCCCATCTCCACCTGCAGATTATCGACTCACTCATCCTTATTTTTTTACCGGATAGGAGGGTGTAGTTAGTGGCTCTTATCGCTAGATGGTGATAATGTCGCAGTTTGATGGGTTCTGTAGTTTTACAGCACAAAAAAATCTGACCGATTTACGGCTTTCATCAATCATAACTTTTGTGTTTTACATTCGATTGCATTCAGGCTTCATGATATCCTTCACAGGAGACATTTGAACATATAACATTGCTGATCAGTGATCACTACTTTCATTGAATTTTGGATGATTTGGTCAACTTTGAAACACCCATGGTGTTCCCGGTCCATCCGGATCAGATAAAACACACACACACACACACACACACCCACACACACACACACACACACACACACACACACACACACACACACACACACACACACACACACACACACACACACACACACACACACACACACACACACATACCATGTATACATCACTTCAGGGGACATTACATTGACTTACATGCATTTCCTGGAGACTTATCCTAACCTTAACCATAACCAACACATGCCTAACTCTAACCCTTACCCTTAACCTTACCCTAACCCTAACCCTAACCAAATCTTCACCCTAAAATTAATGATTACCCTCATGGGGACCTCCAATTTGTCCCCATAAGGGAAGCCAGTCCCCACACGTGACTATGTAAACAGATTTAGGTCCCCACAAGTATAGTAATACTAGACCTTCACACACACACACACACACACACGCTAGATGTGTTTCCCCCCCTCTTATGTGCCCCTCCCCCCACATGGATCACACCTGGCACACGCAATACATGTTCAGTGTCTGTTCTTTGTATATTTACTGCAGTTGTTCATGTATACCAGTAGTCTGATACAATATGTACAGTTTGAAAGGATGTTAAATGAAATTTGGTGATGATTGATGGTTTTTGTGTTAATGTAATAGCAGTTAAAACAGGACCGGTCAAATTTGACCGAGAACACCAAAGTAAGGGGGGGGGGAACAAACACAACAAGAGGGTTAATAAGGTATTCACTTGACTTAAATGTCCTGAGATTAACCATTATGTTTTGATATCTGAGGAATTAAGAAAAGGACTAAATTGATATACTCAATAACTCAACGCAACTGTGTTTTATTTTTGGATATTTTCTAATTGAGTTTTTATTTCATATTATCCTGTACATATTCTCCTAACTAAACTTTTTAAAACTTATATCTGTTGAGTGAAAAATATCAGTGCATACTTTTCAGATCCCAACTGTCTTCACACAATGTGTTGGGCCTCTTAAACATGTTACATACAGTGTAAAGACGAGTTATAATACTTGCGTTTTACATTAGTCTATTTGATTGATGTTGAATATTAAAAAGGAATACGACTTGATAAAACCCCTTTTATACATGCAATACTTAAATATGTTTATTCAGAGTTTGCTGGGTAGCATAACATTTTAATCTAAAGTGTAGTAGCCGGCAGTGGCTCAGTCAGTAGGGGCTTGGATTATGTTCTGAGCCATGCAAGACGTGCGGTCCAAATAAGGAGGAACATTGCCCATTTCGAGGGTAAAATGTCAGAGGTGTGGCATATAATGAAGAGGACAGTAAAAAGGGACATTAACCTTGTGCTAATACATGTGGAAAAGGACACATTTTGCGAGGATTTTGTGGATCGCAGCAGGCTAGTTGAGCTGGATGAGGAGGGAGCATTGTGCTTCAACTTTGAACGGAAAACTTAAGGCACACTACCTTTAAGCTAGTGGTATTAAATATTAAATATGTGTATTATGAGCAATGCTTTATGTAGTTGTGATGAGATGTTAAATGTCTATTTTTGATAATAAAAGATTTAAAAAAAAAAAAAAGTAGGGGCTTGGACTGGGAGCTGTAGGGTCGCCGGTTCAAGTCCCCGACCAGACCTAAAATATGGAGTGTGGACTGCTACTTGGAGAGGTCCCAGTTCACCTCCTGCCCTGCCGTTGAGCAAGGCACTGAACACCCCCCCTTCAAAAATCCACCTGAGAGTGTCCCAGCTGTAACTCTTCACTCTTCTATATAACAGGTTTAGTACTGGATAATGCTTGGTTGATTATGATAACAATAACAAAGCTAATGCATTAGCACATCCTGCAGACATGGATCAACCTTCACTCATGTTATCTGTCTGGATGTACTGCTAACTTCATCTATCTTTGGTACTGGAGAGTTAGCAACCAGTGGAGCTATCAGAGCTTTTCACTGAAAATAGCAGCCTCCTGTGGCTGGGGATGGAGTTAATGAGACCAGTGAGACTGATCAAAGAAGCAGGCCATAAAACCAAATGAAAGATGCTTAAATGCTTTAGAGAAGAGGGAGACTGATGATAATTATCTGTGGGTCAACCTATCGCACTTCGTAGGCCTATAGTCATTGAATTCAGAGATAATAATGTTGACTAGTTAAGCTGAAATATACTGTGTAGATACAAAGATTGTGTACCAAGATAGACACAAGGCAAGAGAACATATTTAAAACAAATGTAATAGTTGAAATTGGCCATTCAATAAATACAGAATGTGCTTAAATCCTTAATAGACAATGATAATCACTTGCACATGTGCTATTCGTTATCATATGTGTATTAATAATTAATGGTGGTATTATAGTCCTTTATTTCCCGGTACAGCTGTCAAACTGGGGCCCTCCCAGCAGCAGAAAACTGACCAATCAGAGTAAACTTTATTTGCTTCTCTGACCAATCCGAGACTTTTAAATGGAGCCGGAAAAGGCAAAGTGGTCCTTTTTGACCCCACCCACAACATCAGAGAAATATGAGAATGAATCGCCCACGCGTTTTTATGGCTTCACGTGTTGACCATGGCTATTGAGTGTAAACCACTAAATTGGCTTTATCATTCTTCCATATATTCACTTTGCTCCAGATATCTCAAATAAGCCGGTTAGCTGTCTACAGATAGCCTGTTTTCGATTTCAAAGGGATCCTAAACCAAACTGCTTTCACAATATCGGCTATTTTAGTTTTTCTACGTGTTTGCGAATATACACAATTTGTTTTGTTGTGGTTTAAACCCGTATTATGAATCATTAGTAACCATTTTTCTCTTCGGCAGATGTTAAATGTTTAAAACACTTTTACATTTTTGTGAAATTGTAACTTTAACAACTGAGACTAGGGGTGTTTTCTATTGGAAGATGCACAGACAAGAGCGGTTGAAGAACACTGGGAGCCGTGTCATAAATGTGCCATAATATTGCTTTAAATTGTTTTTTGTCCATTTTAATTAAAGCCGAATGAAAAGGGGAATGCCAACGAATAACAATACCTATGAGTCATCCATTGTGACTCATGTATGTTGATCGAAAAGCACATGTAATGTTAAATCCCCTCTTTTGTGAATGGAGTACGTCACTGAGATGAGCTAGACTGACTCTCATCTCTTCCCCCAGGAGGCTCTGCTTCCCAGCCCCTTTGTTCAGTGTAGCCGGTGGGTTGAGTCACAAGGAGGCTGTGCTAACAGGGGAACACCGACAAGAGTGGGAAGAGGCCGAAAAAATAGCAAATATTATCCGGCAATGCAGACTTCAACGCGTTTTTAATAAAAGCCACACAACAGAAAAGTTGTTTTTGGGTGTTGCTGATGCTGCGTTTCTATTCGGGTCTTGCATGTCAGTGTTCGGATACCAAAACCAGCGAAATTCGTCGATAATTTTTTGCGCTTTTACCTATGCTTCTGGGTGGATAATGAGCCGATACTGCTAAGCCATCACCGGTATATTGCTGACACCATCATCCACGCCGACTCTCCCTTTCAGTTTCTGCTCAGCATCCATATTTGCATCCCAGGGAGTGGCTGCCACTAATCCCCCTCTCCTGGTGAGAACATTGAAAGTTGGCCGGCTGTCGGACACCCCCTTTGGACACTGTAATTTCCACATAAAGAGGTGAGTGTTTTCATGCATTAATGTGCTTTTATGTTGTTGCTTTTCTGCATGGGAGGGTTTGATGTGAAGGGCAGTGTGGACCACGTTGCCGCAGTAGCTACAACAATGGATCAAACTGGCGTTGTGTTACATTTTGTGGAGGTGCGCATTGTCATCCCGATGCTTTCATGCTGTTTTCACCCACATCAGGTGTGGATTTGAGATTTAATCCAGGCCTACATGAAGAATAGCTTCGTTTATATAAAGAAACACCAGTCGTCACTCAGGGGCCTTTTATTTTTAGACTTATCTTTCAACAAAACCATCATTCTCAATTGGTTTAACAGGATTGATTGCTCTCAAAATTAAATCCATGTTAATATGTAGGTATTACATATGGAAAATTATGAAATCCCTTACATCTGCTCTTTCCTTTCTTTCCTGTTGTGCAGTTTAAAGCCTTAGCCAGATGTGTGTTGTTTATTGTAGGCTATAACAGCATTATATCTTCCTAATGGCCTTTGAGCCTTGATTTGTAGGCCATGCTCCACTTGAGTGCCAGCCTACACCCACTCTCAGGCTTATTATTAAATTGATAAATTGACCATGAAAGAATGTGAGAATAAATTAGGTGTTGTTAATAATGATGGATTTACTAGGTCACATGTAATGATGATCATACTTATTAAGGGCCCCTAATGCTACAGCTGGATTTCCAGATGTTAAGATAAGAGATAAAGTACTATCTTATCTCTTATCTTAAATAAATAACCTGGATATAATTTAGATGAAACTGGTCAAAAATAACCTCAACATAGGTGAATATAACTACAACAAAGACAAAACCGAACTTCAAACGTAGAGCTTCTCGTAGTGGTAGTACTATTTTGAAACCGAGCCCATATCTCATTAGTTTCTACCTTTTTGGTTTGCTGTAATGAGCAGCCAACGACACAAATGTAGCCAGAAATAAACCCGCGGTGCTTGGATACTTTTCACTCAGTGTTACCAGTGAAGCCCTTCAAGTTATTGGTGCCAATAGAGCTTGTTATGGTGGAAAAAACCAGACTGCAAAAGGTAAACAGATCCCAAAAGGATTTGTTGATCTTGTGTCTTTATATTTGAGAGTAAAGTAGGATTAAAGAACAGAAATGTAAATGAGAGTCTCACCAGAGGGCCAATTGGACTTCTAACATCAGCGGTTACCAACATTGCTGACTCTTTGTTATGATTTATTGGGGATTGGAGTAGTTCAGCAACCGAAATAGCGATCTTCTCTTCTTAGATGGTTTTATTTAAAGGATTTCAAAAGCCTGACAAGGAAGAAGTTCTACATGTATCTCAAGAAAAGAGGGATGAAATGAGAATACATGTCGAACATATATCACCTTTTGATGATCCCTCAGATGTATCTAGTGACCCTTAAGTGGGCCCTGCCCCCCGTGTTGCTGCACTTTACCATGAATACCTCCACAAATGTAGAATATCAAGTCATTATATACGATTGGAAATTGCAGACGTTTAGAAAAAAGACCATTGCGTTGTTCTACTGAAAACAACAAACAGCTAGAGGTTCAAGGTTCTTTATTGTCAAACTAACATAGCTACAGAGTAATTATGTCATTGAAAATCTTAGGTCACAGGCTTCTCCAACAATGCAACACAATAATACAGATAAGCAGACAATATTAAAACAACATTAAAATATACTATGAGCCAAAAGACAATGCGGCCATCTTCACCGGCGCATCATGAAAGAGAAACAGTATAGAGATAGAGATTGTGAGTATACTGTAATATTTTTCCTGATCTACTTAGTGCTACAACCATCCATTATTTTCATTATTGATTAATCTGCCAATCCTTTGACCTATAAAATACCAGAAAATAGTGAAAAAGGTCCATCCCAGTCTTTAAAGTCCAAGGTAATGTCTTTAAATGTCTTGGTTTGTTCATCTAAAACCCAAAGATATTCAGATTGAAATGATATCAAACAGAGAAATGCATGACATATTGATATCTGAGAGGGTGGAAACAGCATCTCCTGATTTTTGCATGAAAACCTTTTATTAATTATCAAATAAGTTATCAACCTACTACTCGTTGCAGCTCTATTTTAACATTTTGCTCCATTTATACAGGTTTTGAGACTTGGTCACCCATTAGCATGCATCTTTTAACCCGCCTCCCCTATCATTCTGCTTATTTACCTGTTATTTCTTTATATTTATGAATGTATTATTATCCCTGTAAAGTATTGAGGGCCAAACCAACCCACAATATGGGTTAGGGTCTCTTTGGTCTGACAATAATAACGATATACCTCAACTTCATAATACAAATATGCAGCTCATGTGCTGCACATAGCTAGGTCAATACACAACAGATAAAAGCAAATATAGAACTAATTATATATTTTTGCAAGACAGACAGATTGTAACAATACCCCCTCCCTAAATTATTATTGTTTCTTTATAATTATGAATGTTTTAATATCCCTGTAAAGTATTGAGCGACAAACCAACCCACAATATTGGTTTGGGTCTCTTTGGGTCTCTATGGATCTCTATGGGTCTCTATGGGTCTCTTTGGGTCTCTTTGGGTCTCTATGGATCTCTATGGGTCTCTTTGGGTCTCTTTGGGTCTCTTTGGTCCTCTTTGGTTCTCTTTGGGTCTCTATGGGTCTCTTTGGGTCTCTTTGGGTCTCTCTCTGTGGGTCTCTTTGGGTCTCTATGTGTCTCTCTCTATGGGTCTCTTTGGGTCTCTTTGGGTCTCTATGGGTCTCTATGGGTCTCTATGGGTCTCTTTGGGTCTCTATGGGTCTCTATGGGTCTCTTTGGGTCTCTATGGGTCTCTATGGGTCTCTTTGGGTCTCTTTGGGTCTCTATGGAAATGCAGCTCAAAGTGCTTTACATAGCTAGATCAAAACACAACATATATTTTTGCAAGACAGACAGATTGTAACAATACCCCCTACCTAAATTATTCTTGTTTCTTTATAATTATGAATGTTTTAATATCCCTGTAAAGTATTGAGCGACAAACCAACCCACAATATTGGTGGGTCTCTTTGGGTCTCTATGGGTCTCTATGGGTCTCTTTGGGTCTCTTTGGTTCTCTTTGGGTCTCTATGGGTCTCTTTGGGTCTCTATGGGTCTCTTTGGGTCTCTATGGGTCTCTATGGGTCTCTTTGGGTCTCTATGGGTCTCTTTGGGTCTCTATGGTTCTCTTTGGGTCTCTATGGGTCTCTTTGGGTCTCTTTGGGTCTCTATGGTTCTCTTTGGGTCTCTATTGGTCTCTTTGGGTCTCCATGGGTCTCTTTGGGTCTCTATGGGTCTCTTTGGGTCTCCATGGGTCTCTTTGGGTCTCTATGGGTCTCTTTGGTTCTCTATGGGTCTCTTTGGGTCTCTATGGGTCTTTTTGGGTCTCTTTGGTTCTCTTTGGGTCTCTATGGTTCTCTTTGGGTCTCTATTGGTCTCTTTGGGTCTCCATGGGTCTCTTTGGGTCTCTATGGGTCTCTTTGGGTCTCCATGGGTCTCTTTGGGTCTCTATGGGTCTCTTTGGGTCTCTATGGGTCTCTTTGGGTCTCCATGGGTCTCTTTGGGTCTCTATGGGTCTCTTTGGGTCTCTATGGGTCTAGCTAGATCAAAACACAACATATCTTTTTGCAAGACAGACAGATTAAAACAATACCCCCTCCCTAAATCCTTCTAGTTTCTTTCTATTTATGTCTGCTTATTGTCCCCCCAGCTAACCATGGAGAGCGACAGCCCCCACTCCCTCATCTAGTGCCCGCTGTACCGCCTTCCTCCCTGGGGAGCCGCTCTCAGGTCCTCCCTCTCCTGCAGAATGAACATGTTGAAGTCCAGCGGGCTGAAGATCCCTGGCCGCGGGCCCAAACACGCCAGCCCCTCACCGGGGGGGCCAGGAAGAACCTCCAGCCCAGTGCCCCCGAAAGACAGTAAGTCACTTCCTGTTTCTGACGCCTGGGAAAAAAATGGGAATTTCGTTTTTTTTTTTTTAAAGCCGCTCGGAGGGTTTGTTTGTTTTATGACTCAGAGGAGCACAGCTGCATTCGATTACACGCACAGAAGCTGCTCTCTTTAACTTCCTCTGCCAGGGTTTTTACTGTCTAATCTACAAAATGGTGAAAGCTTTCAGCCGTTTGAAAGGTGCCATGCTGTCTCCATTTAAAATACTGTATATTTAAATAAAAAACTGTGTATTTATATACTCATCGAGAGGCTTTCGACCCAGACTTCGTCCAACTTGGCCGGGGTTTGAATAATTGCTTCTGTGGTGATAATTATTTTCATACTCCGTGGTTTTATGTGTCGTGAGTTTCCATTTTCAGGGCTGCACTAATGCTGTTTTAAAATACTAAAAATGGGTTATATGAATAACGTGGAATGTAGCAGGCGTTATGAAACAAAGTATATCTTAGTTTCCTTTTGGTTTCACGGCGGTTTCAGAGGAAAAGCTCATATGTTACACGTCCACCACTAAACATAAGAGTGAATATTTCTATATATTTATTCTTATATTCCAGGAAAGCGACTCTAAAGCGGCATCTGTTGGATTTGCAAATAAGCAACAACACATATGAAACTTTAGTGGATCATTATATATCAGCATTTAGTGCTTGTTATCAGACTCATGTATTTGTACATCCAGATAGCACCTTTTATGTATCAGGGAAGAATGCATTTTGTTATTTGCAGTAAAAGTTTTTTTTTCATAAAGCCGTTAAGGGAAATATGTTTTATTTCTCACAGCACTAAAATCAAGCACTTTTCTCCCTCCGATAGGATAATACTAAAATAAACAACAATAGTTATGATTTGCAAGACAAATACAAATGTTGAAATACATAAAAATGTAAAACAAAAATACAAATAAAAGTTTAAAGGGCCCATGTCATGCTTTTCCGGTTATTACCCGTCCCCTTGTGTCATGAAGGTTTTTCTGCATGTAAACGGTCTGCAGAGTCACAAACCCTCAAAGTACACCCTGCAGTAAAACTCTAACACAGAAATACCTGTCTATGCTGCCCCAGAACGCCTCGTTAGAGATTTCTCTTTTTCCATTGTTTCTTCCGGGAACCAAAATGGACCAATCCGCGGAGCTCCTCACACACCAGGAGGGGTGGGGACCTTTAGCGTAAATGTTCAACTAACAGGGAGTCCCCTGGTTGGTAATAGACGAGTTGGGATGGCGGAGAAATGCTCTCCGCAGACCCATTCTCACAGCGTTTATAAACCTTTTTCTTTCTCAATATCAAGCCACACTTATTGTTTTTACTGCGGCTGTGAGTGTTTGTGTGCTCAGGATGAGTTTCGCTTGTTCTCGCTGTATCGCCGACCCGGAAACCACACCAGTAAGCCAGCTCTGTGAGCAACGAGCCTCGCAACGTCCCGACCAATCAGAGCACGCTTGGCTCACAGGGAGGGGGGGGGGGGGGGGGGGGGGGTGGGGGGGGCAGGAGCTCCAACAAGCCGTGTAGGACAGAGAGTGAATACACACACTATACAGAGATGCTGTATGAGAAACCAATGTGAGTTTGGAAAATTGAACAATTTAAATCTGTTCTAGTCGACCTCAAGGGAAAAAGTACAAAAAATGAAAAGTGTTGAAATAAATAAAATCAATACAAAATAAGATATATATTGAATAAAATGTTAAAAAATCTATAAAAATAAACAAGGGATAAAAAAATTATTATAAAAAATTAAGAAATAAATATAAAATAAAAATGATGCTATAACATTATACCAAATTAAAGCATCATCTTTAATCAGAAATCCCAAATAAAAAGGTGAAATGTAGAAACAAGGCTTATGCGCGACGTCAACCTTAGAGCAACTGAACTACTTACCAAAATGAGACTTCCCTGAAATCGCCCTGAATCAGAATTACAGCCTGCCTGCAGAAGGTAATCACAGCTGTTCTCTGTGTTTATCCTCCCTGCCTTCAGCTCACTGACAGCCCCCTCACACCAGCTCCACACACACATGTTAGTTGAGTTTCTGCTAAATTACAGCTCCACTCTCAGTCACACAACAGAGGAACTGCTCTGGCTGCTATACGTGTGCTTCTCATTATCCTCAGTGTGTGTGAGAGGCTGTTATCAGACGCAGCTAACAGTGAGTCATGGTCCATGTCCACTGTGGAATTTCATGAGAGCCAGGGAAGTTGTTCCCACACAGGAAGTGTTTTATTGACTGATTCATGCACTGTTTATAATTAGTGCACTGTCAGCGATGTTACTTAATAAGATGTTAATGGTTTGTCTTGTTCTTTTCTATCAAAAAAGCCAATTATAAGTTGGATATAACTTCTATCCCACTCCAGATCATAATGTTCATGTGTTTTATTTTAGATTGAGATGCATTTAATTTATTCTGCATGTCTATTAAACAAGTACAAGCACATATATAAACCAAGAGTACAGACAAACTGAACAATCAACTTATAGAAAACCTTTAACATATCTAAACCATTAGAACATAAATATATATCTATAGATATTGTAATTAAATTGTGAAGTCTGATATTGTACCTTAGCTTGGATGTATTGAACAAATCATAAGGTATGAATACTTGTCAAAAGTCAAACCAAAGTTTCAAAACGTTGGTGATATCTGTTAATAAGAGAGAGCTTGTTGAGTTATCTAAACACATCTCAAATCAAAAGAAGCATATTATTTTCCTTGTTTTTTTAAATGGCATTTTGAAAGAGAGTTACCAAAAATAGCTTTCTATTGTCTGTTGAATGATATGTTTGTTGTGTTTGTCTCTGTCTCTGTGGAAGGCAGAACATCTGGAGTCGTATCTGCAATGTTTCTGATCTTATCACGAACATTAGCTCACAATGTAGTTAATCCCTTAACGTAGCATTTTAGCAGCTGTTAGCTTGCTATGCTAACGTGACTGCTGTCTGTGGGTTAAACACACATGAACTCATTAGCTTGCTCACATCCTGTTTATCCACAATAAAAATACACAATCATGGTGCACAAGGAGCAGCTTTCATCTCACTATACTGTGCTTTCTGCATGTAGTTTCAACATTTAAAATATGTATAATAATATCCTTTACATGAACAGGGTGTTTGACCAATGAGATTCACATTACAGATGATTCTCTTAAGACTGAGGACAATGTTTCGAGACATCAATCTGATTTAAAGGGGCCCTATTCTGCTCATTTTGTGGCATGTTTCCACGCTTATTAACACTGATACGAGTTTGCTGCCTCAGTGATTCGATGGAGGGATTAGTTTCGACACTGACCTGGCCTCGTACTCCAAATCTCAGCCTCCTGTTAGTTGGCTTTAGCTGGAGATTGTGATAAAAGGCCTCTGTGTCGGGTGTTGGCAGACTTTACTTTGCTGCAGTTTAAGAACTGTTCCTCCTCCAGGAGAAGCTGTGGGCAATGTGCGAAAACAGGAGAGGATCTGAGCCTTTCTCTGCCTTCCATGTGAAATCCACTGAGCTGTGCCTCCAACGTGTCTCCAGTGGCCTTGGAAGAACCAAAATATCTCAGTCACAGGAGTAGAAAGTTACATTTTTGGAGACAAAGGGGGTCCGCGGGGTCTTAAAAAGTATTATAAGTTGATAAATCAATTTAGAGAAAATGAAGGCTATTAAAAAGTATTAAAGGGCATTTTCCAAGGTATTACATTTTGTAGCTTGTTTTCAATAAGTATATAAATTGTCCAAAGAGGTTGTGTTCTACAGTCTGCCTGAATGTAATCATGGCGTAGGTGTGTAGTGTGATTCTGTGTAGTTTATTGATGGCATCCCGTTGGGTTTGACGTCATCTGAACAGGACATCGCGCGCTCACTGCTTGATAGCGCGCGAAGGTCCGTTTACGCCGGTTGCTAAGCAACATCGTTATGGGGAAATGCAAGTTAGCGTCCAAATGGTTGGAAGATAAGGAGGAAGGACACTCAATACTGTATATAGTCAATGTGAGGTAAAGTGTGTCGCCAAGGTTAAAACTCCAAGTGGCGATGAGGTCTTAAAATGTACGGATAGGGTCTTAAAAAAGGTCTTAAAAGGTCTTACATCTGACTTCAGGATTCCTGCAGATACCCTGAGACAAAAGGATCAGACACTTGCTCTTACTGCACCCAAAATACTAATTCCTCTAATTCCTCCTGATTGCTTGTCATGTATGCCTCAATTCTGCATTATGTTGAACTTCCTAATGGTAGTGCAACAAGCTATAAGCACATCATTGGCATTGTAACCCCTTATCTTTATGTAATGTGTCAGCAAGGAGTGATCTCTAAAAGAAAATGCCTCTTTTAGCTTGAAACAGTAAAGTTGCATCCATAAAACTAAATCAAATTACCTTAACGACTCCTAAAACCCTCCCTGTGCTGAGTGGAGCTGTGGGCTTGAGTTTTATTTCCCTGTGCAGGAATATTGATTTGTGCAGCTTTACGATGAACTTGTGCAAGTTAAAGAGCAGCTTTTAAAAGTAAAGCCTACTGCAGAAAATGTGATAACATGCTGATGGTCAAGGATAAATCCATGTGTGGTTTTATATGAATATTTATTTTGTATATAGAGCGCTTTCAGGGCTAATTCAATCGTATAGCCCGAGAGAAATGTGTGCTTCCCGCTGACCATCAAGTTAAATACCAGAGGGACTTCATCACAGTGATGCACCGTCCTGTAGATCCAGTATTGACAGACAGTTCATCAGTGCTGCTCCTTTATTTGCAGAATTACCCACAATGCCCTGACACACCCAGTGATACTAAAGGGAGAGCTCCTTCATTAAACAAACACAGATCCACGACTGCATCCTCTGATGTTCAGTCCTTTGGGTGTGTCCATAATAGTCATTTCAGTTGTTAAATGGTCGATTAGCTGGTAATACGGCATGCTAGTGAAGCCCTTGCAAATTAAGTTGTTAAATGCAAATTCATGCAAAGAATAATGGAGCTT